AAACATATCTACGCGTAGATCATGATGTTCTGTTAGAATCGCTGAAAACTGTTTTCCAAAATTCGCAGCGGGTAGTGTACAGCATCGATTTCTGTGGAACCCAGTAGCTGTCAAAACTTTCACATTTTTACGAATAACTCGGAAATCGTAAATTTTTCAGGTAAAACGGTTGAAACAAACATAAATTAAAATTGAACGGCCAATCTGAAAATAAGAAAAAAAAGGGGGGGTTTCATTTAAAAAACCAGAGTTGGTAACTACCACACGTTTATGATGCACCCTGTATATTGGAAAGTAATTTTAGAATGTGGACCTTCTAAACGTGAAAAACTTTCGTTGGACGAATTTTCTTGGAAACTTCATATTTACTGAGATATCGCACTTTGACGCACTAATGAGCAACCCTGTATAAAGGAGAACGTGGCGTGATGTTAGAGCTAAATTTTGCGCAAAACGGTTGAAATGTCCTATTATTGCTGAAAACTGCCCCTATTTCTGAACTCAATTCCATTTATTGATTGGAGTTTTCAGTCCTCTATCCCGTGATAGCAAAACGAGCGCTCCAGCTCCAATTGCTTTAAAGATAGTGCCAAAAAGTGGTGTCATATTCGCGCTAAGACCATGACTTAGTTTTTAAAGCCTTCGATCTCCGACGGATTGAGGTTAATTATTAGCAAAGAAAAGCTTTAACTGAAATTGACAAACACCAAACTCTCATAGGAAATAGAAAAAGCAACCAATCAAAGCAGACATTATAGAAAACGCTACAAATAAACGAACAGAAATGAAAGAAGAGAGAATTTTGTTGCTTCAATTGGAGCAAATTTTTCAATTAAATGTATGACACTAAAACACCCTTTAATGGAGGAAGACTAATTTGAAAGAGCAACGAACTAAAACAGAGATTTAAGAAGCCACACATAAATGAAGAGGATTATAATTTATAAAGAGAAAAAATGAAAGACATTAAGGATTTTTAAAAAATATGAAGAAGTTGAATGAAAACTAAGGAAGTTGAATGAAGCCTTGTTATCAAGCTAAAAACTAACAAAGTTTAAAAGAGACAAAAATTGGGTGGCAACAAGTGAATATACAGGCTGACTCAGTTACTAACAGTATAATGCCATTGAACATAAACATACAACAAATTAACGTTAGAAAGAGGAAAGAGAACTGGAAGAAAAATGTGCAGTAATTGACGATTTTACTTTATAAGTAACAATTGAGTTGGTCTGTATCAAAATCCACCGAAAAAGTCCGGAAAAAATACAAACAAGTTGAATGAAGCCTTGTTATCAAGCTAAATACTAACAAAGTCTAAAAGAGACAAAAATTGGGTGGCAACAAGCGAATATACAGGGTGACTCAGTTACTACCAGTAGAATGCCATTCAACATAAACAAACATACAAATAAATACTACAAAAAGGAACTTTTTGGAAAGAAAATGTGCAGTAATTGATGATTTTACTTTATGTAACAATTGAGTCATTCTGTATCAAAAATCCACTGAAAAATATCTGGAAAAAAAGGAAGGAAGTTGAATGAAGCCTTATTATCAAGCTAAAAACTAACAAAGTCTAAAAGAGGCAAAAATTGGGTGGCAACAAGCGAATATACAGGGTGACTCAGTTACTACCAGTAGAATGCCATTCAACATAGACAAACATACAAATAAATACTAGAAAGAGGCACTTTTTGGAATGTCAAGATCATACAGGTATATGCACCCACCTCAGACCACACAGACGAAGAATTTGACTTATTCTATGAGGATATTCAACAAGCAATGCAGGGCACCCCAACATACTACACCTTTATCATTGGCGATTTTAACGCAAAACTCGGCTTTAAGATGGGAGACTCCGAAACTTTCATGGGTGATCACGGATATAGAGAAAGAAACGCAAGAGGAGATAGGTTATCGGAGTTTCTTTTACACAACAGACTTCATGCCATGAATTCTTTCTTTCAGAGGAAATCTCAACGAAAGTGGACATGGATAAGCCCGGACGGAAGTACGAAGAACGAAATAGATTTCATAATTACCCAGCACAAAGAAAATGTACATGATGTAACCGTCCTGAACAAATGTGGTATAGGTAGTGACCATAGATCTTGTTAAGGGAAAATCGTAATAAACTTGAAAAGAGAAAGAAAACAAATGATAACACTTAAAACTGGAAAACAGGATAAACGTATTAGAGATATTCAATCTTACAAGGAGCACATAAACGAGAAATTGAATATAACCACCATAGAGGCAGAAGATAACATCGAGAATATTAACAACATAATCTCAAAAGCGATAGAAAGCG